ATTTACTGTGCTCACTGGTTCCTGGTTGACTGATCCTTTGAGCCCTTCCTTGCCTTTTGTTATGGTTTGCACCTTGAGATGAATTTTGTTCATTAGAATTGCAACCCCTATTTTTAATTAACCGTTTGCCTGCTGTATTTTCCACCAGCCTTTTATTCTTACTATATTTTTGTGTACAAGCTTAAGTTATGTCTCTTGCAAGTAACTTATTGATGGGGTGTTTTCTGAGCCAGTCTGCTACCCTTTGTCTTTTAAGGGGTAAATTGAGGCCATTCACATTCAGAGTTCTTATCACCCATCTGTGGATTCTTTGTTTTCCTTTCATACCTTTTGTGTTGGGTGTTTTCTTATCTTTTTAAAGTTTTTCCTTGTCAAAAAAACTAATTAAATAAATAAATAAATAAAGTTTTTCCTTGTCCTGGAGACTCTTAACTCACCATCTATCTTAATAGATAATTTGGCAGGGTAGAGAATTGTCTGGCTGGTGTATTTTCTTTCAGCTTTCAGAAAATATTATTCCACTCTCCCCTCCTTTTCATTGTATCTGCTGATAGGTCTGAGCATATTCTTAACCTGAGCACCACTGTATGTGACCACCTTTTTTCTTTTGCTGCTGTTAAAATTTTCTCTTTTTTCCTCAATGTTGGATCATTTAACTATCATGTACCTTGGTGAGTTCTTTTTGGGGTTTAGTCTTATTGGTGCCCTCTCTGCTTCCTGTATGAGTGTCTGATTCTCATTCAGTAAGGTGGGGAAGTTTGCTTCCCAAAATTCCCTTGCTAATTTAGCTGTTGACTTCTTCATTGTATCTTGGTCTGGTAGACCAATTATCTGAATATTGTTCCTCTTCATAACATCTGTCATGGATCTCAGGTTTTCTTCTACCTCTTTAATTATCTTGTTTGACGGCCTTTCCCGTTTGTTGAAGTCTGCCTGAATGTCCTCGAGGTCTCTGGTACTGTTGTTGGTCTCTTCTAATCTGTTGGTGAGGTTCGTGATCTTGTGTTTTGCTTCTGTTACCTCATCCATTAGTTCTTCTATTTGCCTTTGGTGCATGGTCTTCATCCCGTCTATCGTGTACTTTATTCCCTCTATTTTGGATGTCATCTCCTCCATAATTACTCCATGCAACATTCTGAAGATTTCTTTTTGTGGCATATCAGCATCTAATGCCTCTATGAGCATCATTAGGTTTATGACTTCCTCCACTATTATGTTTTGTTTTTCTTGTTTTCTTGGTGAGAGTGTTGAAGTGTTACTGTTTGCATGTCATTTGAAACTGGGCTCCATATTTCGCGAAACCTAAGTACCCTGAGTTCTTTCTCTGTGTGACCAGAAAGAGTGTTTTTGAGGACTGCCTGTGGCCTACTATGGTGGCGGGTCAGATTGCTTTGTAGACAGGCTGGCATGGTGACTCACTGACCACTGGAGGTGGGGGACCTCGGCATTTTGGCTGAGGCAGGCAACTGTATGTTTGCCACTGGCCTGGTTGGGGGCAGGACTGCTGCAGTGTGGGCATGGGGCCTGGGCTGGACTTCTGGCCACACTTTATAGCCTTTTAAATATTGTGAGGAGGCCAGAACTGGTAGTCAGTTTTTGACTTGGGTTGTTAGCTATTAAAACCTGTTAGCTTTTCCCATATGTTATGCTAACGGACAGAGTTCTGGCTGCTTACATTCAAAGTTACACAAAGAACCACAGCCTGGAATTGAGTGTGGTTTTTTTATTTGTTTAAAAATATATATTTTCTCTCCTTTTTATAATGGGCTTCTGGGGTGCTCTGGTATCGGAGCTGTGCCATGCTCTCCCCCAGGAAAGAGGACCAGATTAGCAGAGTGGGTTTGGGGCTGACTGGAACGGAATTTTGTATTTGGGGTGCAGAAAGGGATTGCAGACACCATCATGCTGGGCCTGGCAAGAGGTTAGCGAGGTCCACGGGCACATGCAGTGAAAGAGCATTTCAAAAGCTGGTAGGTTTGAACTACCTACCTTGCTCTTAGCAGTCTTACACTTAACCAACAGCTCTACCAGGCCTCTGAACCCTAACTTAGAATCCTATCAAATGCTGGTTGCGGGTTGTGCAGAACTGGAATAACCAATCCTCAAATTCTTGTCAAACACTCAAAAACCAGAACAAAGCTCACTGGCATCAAGTCGATTCCCACTCACAGTGAATGTATAGGACAGAATAGAACCGCCCCTGTGAGTTTCCAAGGCAATCATTTTCCCCCACAACTCAAACATCTTTGTTTTAGACTGTTTAGGCCATGAACTGATAAGGAATGGGGGCCAGCAGCTCAAGACTCTTTTCTATTTTTCTGCACCAAGTATGGCTCTCAGGATGGGAAGGCTTGTGTTTCAGCTGCGCACATGTGCCCTTCTTGGCCTCCTTTTCAGATTGTTCTCCTTCACGGGCTTCAGCAAGCTTACCCTCCTGGCTCTTCCAGTGCTTAGTGTGCTCGGTGTACATGTTCTCTAGGTTCGGATCTAGCCCTTGTTTGTTTACAGCAATTTCAGCAGCATCCTTGGTCGTGTTGCAGGTGCTTTTCTTTCTTCCATAGTAACACCTCATCTTTCTCCTGCAGAGATTGGTGGTTTCAAACTGTTTACCTTGTGGTTAGTAGCCCAACATGTAATCCACTATGCCACCAGGACTTCTTTTGGAAATGTGTAAATTGTCTCTAACAGCCAAAACAATCTTGAAAAGGAATGAAATTGTAGGGCTCATATGTACAAGGATAGATGTGTAAATGAATTTAATAAATATAGTAAGATGGAAATAAACTCTTAAATTTATGTTCAACTGATTTTGACAAAGGTGCCAAACCTATTCATTGGAAGAATGAACAGACACCAGCAAATATTCATATGCAAATTAGATTTTCACATGCAGGAAAATGCAATTGTTTCTTCAAAAATTTAAGCAGAAAATCCATATGGTCCAACATATTATTGCATTCTTTGATGTACATCCAAAAATATTGAAAAGGGACTCAACAGATAATGTGTACACCAGGGGTCATTCAAGCATTATTTAAAATGCCCAAAAGGTGGAAACAGCCTATTGTCTTTATGAAAAAAATGGATGGATAAACAATAAATTTATATACAAATGGGATATTATAAAACAGAATCAAGTGCAGATAGATGAAATAAGGTGGATGAACCAGAAACATAATAAGAAACATATGGATATGCTTATATGAAGTATTTAGAAAAGGTAAATGTATAGAAACTAAATAAATTAGAAGTTAGCAGTTATTCAAGAAATGGGGAATAGACGATGGTGATGGTGTTAGATGCAATTGAATCAGCCCTGCCTCATAACAACCCTGCTTACAACAAACAAAACATTGCCCAGCCCTGTGCCCTCCTCACAGTTCTTAGGTTTCAGCCCATTATTGGAGATACTGTGTCCACCTCGTTTAAGGCCTACCTCAGGCTTGATGTCCTTTTCAGGTGGCTGGTCTCTCTTGATAACATGTCCAAATACATGCGACAACGTCCTGCAGTACTGGTTTCCAAGGAGTATTCTGGCTATATTTCTTCCAAGGCAGAGTGGGTAGTTCCAGAATGGGTAATCGCAAGAGAGTAGTTACAACTTGATGAATACAGAGTTTCTGGGCAAATTGAAAATAAAATAGAAGATTCTTAAACACAAAATAGCGTAATATGAACTGAAATTTGAAATATGCACAGGAATTTGCCAAGCAGAAAAGAACATTCTAAATAGGCAATATATCGTGCTGTGCATATTCATCATAAGCAGAAACAGAAATTGTAACCCCCAAATTAGGAATGTTTGCTTTTATGTCCTTATTGCATTCTGATAGGAGCCCAGGTAGTGCTGTTGAATATGCTTTGGGCTTCTAACCACAAAGTCAGCTGTTCAAACCCACCATCCACCCAACAGGAATAAGAGAAGGCTATGTACTCCCATAAAGATTTATAAATTCGGAAATCCTGTATCAGGTTAGTTTGCATTGTAATCTACTCAAGGGCAGTGAGTTTGGTTTGGGTTTAATGCTTCTGATGGGAAGCTTAATTGATACGTCTACATTTTGGTATTAGAGATTTATAGCAAACTATGGTACACGGTAGTAGAGCAAGGCATCTGAGTGTGGGCATCCTTAAAACTATAAAAATGACCAGGGTGATATTTTACATATTCTTTAACTATATGCATTATTCTTAAATATACTTTGATTATAATTTTTGGCAAACCATTTACTGATAAACTAACTTTTGGCAAACCATTTACTGATTAACTTACCAAGAAATTCAGTACTTCACATTAAATTTGACTTATTACCACAAAAACACACCAGGCAGATTTTTGCTCCTGTATTACTTTCTGTGTAATATGTGAGGTCTGGGATCTAATGTATCCAGGTTTATGCATGTTAAAGATACTTTTTATAACATCCCAAAAGAAAACCCTGGCCATCTGGTCTTTCAAAAACAAAATATATATCAGCCATTTGATAATCCTATTACAGTTATTCTCTGACTCATGTGGAGGCTTGACAGCAACTGGTTTTAGCCTTGAATCATCATTCTCAGAACTGTAGTAATAAGCATTGAGTTCAAAAATTTTCTTTGGAACATTTGGCCCAAAGTTATCTAAAAACGTATCTATTGGTAATAGATAAAGAAGAGAATCCTGTGCTTCAACTAGATCAGTACCACCAATGCTTCTGATTTTTGTTTTTCTCTATTTCTGAAGACAATAACCAAATGGTCTTTTTCTTTTGTTATCTCTGACCATTGTATTATCAGGAAGGAAATTTGTTTTGAGCCTGAGGAAATAGGAAAAAATAGGTTATAAGCTGTCTTTTTTGTTTGTGTTATTCTTGAAGCCTGTCACTTTTCTATTGTCATTTCTTATTCATGTGGTAATACATATACCTTCTATCGGAAAAGCAATAATCAATTTATGTGCCCTGAAGAAATTATGTATTTTATTAATCAGTAACTTTTTGTTCTTTACTTCCTTTTAGGAGAGAAGCCACAAGTCTTACCGGCCCTTAACAGTATTGACATTTCGCTTAAATTATCTGTTTAGTGAACTGAAGCCAATGTCATATCATCTCCTAAATCTTATTTTTCATGCTGCGGTCAGTGTGATATTTCTTAAAGTTTGCAAACTTTTTCTGGACAACAGGAGTAGCATGATTGCGTGTTTACTTTTTGCGGTGCATCCAGTACATACAGAAGCTGTAAGTAAATGAAATCTTTGTTTTGTTTTGTTTCTATTGTTTCGCAAAAGGAGCCCTGATGGCACATAGGTCAATTGCTCATCTGTTTATCAAGAGGTCAATGGATTGAAACTGTAAAGATTTAGAGTCTTGGAAACCATATTGGGGAGTTCTAATCGTCCTTCACGATTTGCATGAGTCATAATCAACAGTAATGGGTTGGTTCTCGTTTTTTTTTTGTACTGTTTTACAAAACTTAACCTACTACCATGTAATCAATTCTGACTCTTAGTAACTATAGAGAGCTGGATAGAGCTACCCTTTTTTGTTCCATGGCTACTAATCTTTACAGGAGTAGATAGCCTCATCTTTCTCTTTCAAAGTGGCCAATGTACTTGAACTTGTGGGTAACTGCCAACATGTAACCCACTGTCCACCAGGGCTGTATATTTTTAAAGAAGAAAAAATTAACCATGATTTTATTTGAAAACACTTAATTAGTACAAGTTGAAATTTCTAGTACATTTTTTTTCTTTTTTTAGCTTTAAAACAATTTTTGTGTGTAAATATTACATCAAGACGATAAGACAGATGCTCTTAACTTTAATAATGTAAAATATAAATGAATGTACATTTTTTGCTAATCTTCATCAATACAGACTTGGAGGATTTATTATCATCCTTTCAATGTGTTTTTGTTCCAAAGGACAATATTATGAATCAATACGCTGGTTAAAGTAAGGAATGGAAATAAGTCAAAATATATGGAATTGCCAGCAGACATCTTAACAAATGACAGTAGTTCCATATTGAATATGACCCTGTACTTCTAAATTGTAGTATTCCTCCTTTTACCAATATGGTCACTAGCTCCCACCCAGCAAGCATATTAAAACTCATTTTGTTTCCCTGAGCTCACGGCTGGTCTGTCATTTCCCACTTATATCAACCCTACAGGCAACTTAGAACTGTTTCTTAGGGTTTCTGAGATTATAAATCTGCACACAAGCAGATAGCCGCATCTTTCTCAGGGGAGCAGCAGGGAGGTTTGAACCACTTACCTTGTAGTTTACAGCCCAACATTTAACCCTTTTTCCTTAATAACCCCAAAACTCTAAAATTGACTCCAACATAAAAAGCAAAAAACACTTAGCTTGTTCAGTCCCTCAGTTAGAAATTTTCATTTGTAAGCGAAAGTCTCTTTGTTTCAACTTGGTTTTCTGGTGTGAATGTGTGTGTATGTGTGTGTGCATGCGTGCGTTAGTTGAGGGATGCGGTCTGTGTTCTCCTCCTCCCATCCATTGTCTTGTACCTTTTGATTTCTAGCTAACCAGACAATTTCCCATATGTCTAAAAGAATGATAGGTTGTTGTAAATTTTTTGAGTCCCAAATATTTATAAGGAAAAAATTTGAAGATTTTATGTACAAATTTTTAGAATTCAAAAGGACTTTTGAAATAAACTAGCTCTGTCTTTTCATTGTGCCCAGAAGACAGAGACTTGTAAAGGCAAGATAATTTGACCAAGCACATACAGCAAGAATTAGAAATAACGTCTTATATTGATAATATTCCTCCACCCCACCCAACCCCAATTTCAGAAAAGAGTATTATGCATCATATTCAGATTTTACTTAAACTCTAGCCTAAATGGTATTTATTTCTAGGGGTTGAAATTCAGTTTTTCTCTCCTACTTTAATTGGCTATTTGTTTTATTTATTTATTTTTAAATTTTATTGTCTTTTTTAAGCCTTAGTTTGCTGGTTTATAATTTTCAGCAGTACCTATGATACATCTGTGGTAATGATAGTTTTGTATTATAAGAATAATTATATTGTAAGAACTATGTTAGATAATTATATTAAAGTATCATATGTTACATTGGGAATTTGAATTATTGGTACACAGAACCTCATTATGTGTTTTATGTAATTCCATCTGAGTTTATAGCGATTTCAAATTAAGTAATAATAAAAGAAGTATGAACTCTTAATAGTTCATTATGGATGATACACAAATTCACCACAAGAGGGCACTCAATGAATGTCATAAGAAATAGAAATCAGTATCTGAAAAGTTGCGATAATTTAATTTCTACTTAACATATTATGTAACACTTTCTAGAAACTCTTCATTAATAAGAGACCCACTCCCACTTCTTTTTCTAGGTAACAGGTGTTGTAGGCAGAGCAGAACTTTTGTCATCTATCTTTTTTCTGGCTGCATTTCTGTCATACACCAAATCAAAAGGACCAGATAATTCCATAGGTAAATGTCTAACATTTGATGTGTTCAAAAACTATACATCTTGATGAGGTAATTTTTATTAATCCTATGTGCTTAAACATTATATGCTTAACTTGGAGTGTATTTTAGCTTATATAATACTTAGAAATACATTGTTTACATTTTAAAATTGCACTTAGGTTTTAGTTTATTATTAGCTCTAATAGATCCTCTTATGTCCTATTTTAAAAACCTGATTATCATAGAATATAGGAGTTTTGAATCATATTCCCAAGTTCCATGTGTTATTACCCATAAATGATACAAGTAGCCATCTTCAGTCACCTTTTTGTAAGTACCACCTGGTGAATTGGAGTATATCTTTTATTATGTGTGGATCATAGTTCAACTATTTGTTGAACCCTACCATATATCCTACTCAGGACAACACTTTATATGCTATCTCCTTAAAGATGCCGGTGTTAGTGGGGAGAACACACTGGCATGTAAAAGGCTTCACATAATGGCTTTAATTTATTTTATTTTTATATTAAAGTTTACCTCTAGTAGATGGTTGTAGTAAATTATTTAGCCTGCACTAAAAAGCTTGATGTCTCCTAGATTTTTAATGTGACTGGGTTTGTCCCTTGTTGCTATGTAGATTAATGGTAACTTGGTGATTTAGCGATGGTTTCATATTCCGCCTCCATCACTTACTACTTCTATGGCCTTAGGCAAGTTACTTAGCTCTCCCAACCCGTTTTTGTTGTTGTAGTTGCTTTTCTGTTGTTAAATGTAAATAATAGGGGAGAAAGGGGGACTCAATCACAAGGATCTAACTAGAATCCCCCTCCCAGGGAGACGAATAATGGAAAAGTGGGTGAGGGATGACGGAGGATGATGTAAGATATGAAAATAATAATCTATAACTTACCAAGGGTTCGTGAGGGAAGACAAGCAGGGGAGGGAGGGGGAAGAAATGGGGAACTGATATCAGGGGCTCAAGTGGGAAGAGAATCCTTTGAAAATAATGATGGCAGCTTATGTGCAAATGTGCTTGACTCACTGGATGAATGTATGGATTGTGATGAGATGTAAGAGCCCCCAGTAAAGTATTAAGAAAAACTGTAGATAGTAGTAATAGTTGCAGCTTACATCAAAGTGACGTTGTGAGGATTAGATGAATTATGGACCTGGGAGGCCTGTTTTCCCTGGTATCCTTTGTGCAACGAGAGACAGTTCTGCAAGGAATCTAGAACTGGAGACCAGGAACCACAGTGAACTAGGAACCACGGTGGGTCTGTCAACTCCTCACCCAAAGGACTGTGAAGTGATCTCTCTTGGCTTCACAGAAGATAAGACGTGGCCATCTCTCTACTCTTACAAAGATAACAGCGTAGGAAACCCTAGGGATTCTGCTCTGTTGTGTACGCTAACTGTCATTTGGAATTAATCTATGGCACATAACAACAACCTCCTTAAGCATAATGCTAAATAAAATATGAATGATTCAAATATAACCATTCTCTTTAAAACCTTCCAGAATCAAGCCCCTGCCTAATTCTCGCTAAACTTTCCTCTTTCTTAAGCCGTCATAGCTCACTTCACTACAAGTCAATAGACTTTTCTGTTCTTTCCACCATTCTTGCTACTTCCTCTATCTTCGTTTTTCTCTCTGTTGGTCTTTACATAGCTGTCTTACTATAAATGTCTGTAAGTGATTCAGGCCTCAGTGCAAGTGTCCTTCAGGCTTCAGGTTCCCTCTCCCTTCAAACGGAAATAAAGTAAACCCAAACCAAACTTGTTTCCGTCTGGTCAACTCTGGCTCAAAGCAACTGTCTAAGAAAGAATAGAACTGCCATCCTGAAGTTCCTAAGGCCGTGCATCTTCACGGAACCAGACTGCCCTGTCTTTCTCATAGAGAGCCAAGCGTGGGTGCAAATGGCTGACCTTTTGGCTAGCAGCCAATCCTGCCTGTCTAGTGCACCTCAACTAAAATGAGCTGCTGCGCTATTATTTTTTTGTTTCTAATATTTTCACTTTGTCCCTTTTATTCTTCAGATTTATTTTTTAATTTTAAGTTTTATTGGCATGATTCATATACCCTACATTTCACTGGCTTAAACATGTTAAAGAGTTGTGCAATCATAACCAAAATCAATTTTAGGATAGCATTTTTATTTTTATTCATTGTAATTAGGTCTCCATTTCCCCCCAACTTTCCCTGTCACAACCCTAAGAAACTATTAATCTAGTTACTATCTCTCTAGATTTACCTATCTTGGATGTCTATAAAGAAAACCATTTTAACAGTGTTAAAAAAAAAAAGAAAACCATTTCAACATCTCTGTCACACAACAGCAATAAAGAAATGAAACTCAGAGAAACCACATCCTAAAGAAAGCAGAAAATAATTAAAACTAGAACAAATTTTAAATGGGTCAAACAGAAGAACAAATGATAAGGTGTTAAAGGTTAACCTAACTATGTCTGCATTAATCCATTTTTCAAGGCACTTGTCTGATAGCAAGGCTGTACACATCCGTGGTCTGAGGGAATTCTCCAGAAGCTTAATCCACATGGAGACCCAGGATGGGATTGGCCTTTTTGATCATTCTGTTGGTGTTTTTATCTCACTTTACTAATATCTCCCTTATTTCTATAGTTCTTAAATTCTTGGTCTGCCTATTCAAAATTCTCCTTTTGTTTTATATATTACTAGGTTTGTGCCACTCATTTTAAATGGTTGCAGTCTTTACCTAGTTTTTATGACATTGTGTTTACACCACATATTCGCCTAGAATTATTGCCCACCTGTGACTTTCAAGGAAAAATCAGGGCCTACTCTGCGGTTTATCATGTAATTTTGAAGAGGTGAAAGTAATTAAAATCCAGTAGTACAGACTTTGATAATTATCTGTTGTATTAACCTTGATAGTTTTGGCCCAAGAATATGATATTTTTTAAGGACAGAATAATTTCATACTTAGTATTTCCAACAGGGTATTTTTGCTGGATGTTTTTGCTTTCCGTACCTTTAATATGTCATGTAGTTTAAAATTCAGACATTTTATAAATAGATGAGTTTCTGTATTAAACCCAGTACCAGAAGAAAACCCATTAGATTCATAAGTTATTATATTATTTATGCTTGTATTTCTCAAGTCAGTTATGTCAGTTTTTCTTTGGCTATATTTTTAATCATAGTGCCATATATTTTTTTAAACTATAGGTCTTTTTTTCTATAAGAAAACAGAATCTTAGAAAAGTTGCTAGAAGTCACAAAGCAGGTTGGTAATTATTCTCAAAGTTCCTTGCTCTTTAATTAAAATATTACTAAATAAGAGAAAGTTACTTAAAGTTGGTAGAGCTTGTTTTCCCTTTAAGTAGCACTTGTGAGTGTTCTGTTGAGTTGATTTTGTTTTGGTTTCTTTGTTTTTCAGAATAATGCGGATTTTCTTATTGTAGCAGTGTTTCCCTAAGAACCATAGCCTGTGTCTGATAGTTTTAAAATCATGGATTTAATAAATTACAGATCTAACAAATGAAGTAACTGGTCTATGCAAGAATTTCCAGTTTTTGCTTGAGCAGCTTAGTTATTATGACTCAGAATTAAAAATTTCTCTTTTCCAATTGTTTTTGATTAAAAGTTTGTATTTGGTTAGATAAGTCCACCGTCCTCCACCCCCACCCCTAAAAAAAAGGTTTTCAGTTCATACTATACATCTTAATGTTTTACTTTGCATTTAGTATGTAAAGCAAAATTTATTTACAAAATTAAAATAAACTTAAATTATAAGGTATGTTAGTTAGTTATAACAAGTAGATATTGAATCACAAGTTAAAGATTTTTCATGACCTTTTGCACTAGTATGAAATTGTTTTGTGAAGTTTTGTTTGTTTTTGTTCTTAAATTGCAGTGTGGGCTCCAATTGCATTGACTGTATTTTTAGTGGCTGTTGCAACACTGTGTAAAGAACAAGGAATAACGGTTGTAGGAATTTGCTGTGTGTATGAAGTTTTTATTGCCCAGGGGGTAAGGAGAAATACAAATTTTTGGTTCCTATCTTGGTTCATTCTAACGGAATCATATTATACTTATTTTTAATTATATCTGTAGATTACTTAATCAAAGATCTATCAAGTCATTAAAAAGTCATAACAAAAAATTCTGTAAAACAAAGCTTGCTTGGTCTCATACCTACTGAAACTTATTTTTTGTTTTATTTAATAGACATTAATTTTTCAGCACTGCTTTTTAAAGTTTCAATAATGGAATTGTTAGGCAATTTTTAAAAGTTCAAAATACTTTATGCAATATAATTCATTATTGGAAGAAATTTTTGCTCTCCGTTTTCATTGATTACAAGTTCCACAAATTCCACATTACTGATTTATAATCACAGTTAAATGTATCAAATTACATATAGGTTTCCACTACTATCCGAAAGTTTAGCATTTCTATGAACCCTTTTGTAAGTCAAAATGGCATATAGTGTAGACACATTTGCTCAATTTATATGTGCAAAGCTCTTAAGCACTCAGAGATCCAAAAGATAACCTTTTAAATCTTACCAGTTAACATGTAAAACTAAATTAACACTACATAGCATTGTTCACAGACCCAGTTCAGAGCTTTGGCGGCTTGATGCAGTGTAATTGCTAGCTAGGGAGGCTTAGCAGTACCAGTCATGATGCTAGCTGTGCACGTTGCTTGTTTAACTGAAGGCTTGTACCAAACACACTGAACCATAATTTTGCTTTTCACCTTTTTCATAAAAGCAAAAATTTTGTTTAGATCTTTAAATTAACAAAAACAGTTACTAAAGTAAATTCTTCAAAAAATGAACGATGTAAATCAAAGTTGGAGATACATATATTTGAAAAGGATTATAATGTGACAAAGATTACTAAGTTACTGAGCGGTTATACATTGGGGTATTCATCCTGCTCCCTACCAGCTGCTCACCCAGCAGGAGAAAGAAAATGTTTTCTACTCCTGTAAAGCGCTCCAGTCTCCGAAACCTACAGCGACAGTTCTACCCTGTCCTATCGGAGGGTCGCTAACAGTCAGATGAAGTGAGGGAATGGTAATTTGACAGTGGTAATATATTGTTATTCATTGCTTAAAACATTTTCTTTCTTTTCTAGTATACTCTACCCTTATTATGTTCTACTGCTGGACACTTTCTCCGTGGAAAGACTAGTGTTCCAGTTTCTATGATGCAGACCCTGATAAAACTCATTGTTCTGATGTTCAGTACGCTGTTACTTGTTGTGATTAGAGTCCAGGTCATTCAGTCCCAGCTGCCAGTATTCACTAGGTATGAAATCAGATTCCTTTTTCTTTTTATGTTTTCATTTTGTTTTTATACCTTAGATTTTAAGTGACTGTAAATGTGCCATAGAATGTTTTATTTAAATTTAGTTTTTAAAAGGACTTTTTATTTTGGTGAATAATTAACATAAAAATTGCCCATATTTAAATATACAAATTAATAAATATGTTTGGCATATGTGTACTACCAAAACTCCATACAGCTGAGACCACAACCTGCAAATTGGTTGATAGAATTACATCGTCTTTGTTTTTAGTGATTTTTGTCTTCTTGTTCCCATAATTACTGAGAGGAGTGTTGAACTCTTTGCCTGTAATTATACATTTTTTTCATTTCTCCTCACAATTCTGTCAGTTCTTTCTTTGCGTATTTTGAAATTGTTGTTAATGCACAAACAGCGGGATTATTACATCCTCTTGATCAATTGACCTACATATCATTTTGAAATGAGCTTCTCTATCCCTGGTACAACTGTACTCCAAAATTTACTTAAAAATTATATAACATAGCCAGCCACTCAGGCCACCGTTTGTTAGTGTTATATATGGTATGTCTGTTTTCATTCCTTTACTTACAACTTACCATACTTGTGTCTTTTAGTAAATTAAAATTTTTCTATTTTAGCCATCCGTGAAACAATTCTATTTTATCAGTCTTATATAAGCTTTCATTTATTTTTTAATTGCTTTTAATCTACTTGATGTCACTCTGTATCCCATCTAACTATAGCAAAAAATTTTTTGTTCCTCTTTTTTGGGGGGATGAGAATATTCTTCATATTCTTTTAAGTCTTTTAAAAAAATCTTTGTAAGTATATGTATATAAAGTACATTTTCCAATTTTAAAAGTTTTACTTATTCATTTTATTCAAATCAGCTATATAAGTCATGTACAACCATTACCAATAATCGTTGCTCAATTTTTTATCATCATAAACAGGAAGTTACTGTTTTATAAGCAGTGACCCTCGTTTTTGCCCTTCCTCCCTTCCCTAATAACCCATAATAAAATTTTGATCTCCATATCATATGTTTGCCTATTCTAGGTATTTCATGTAAGTGAGGTTGTGTAATATTAGTCCTTTATTTTGTTTCATTCATCATAAGGTTATTAAAGCTCATCTATATTGTATGAGGAGGCTTCGGAGAGGTCATTGGAAAATTCCATTTTTCCACCAGTTTTTAGGCTCTCTCATATTTATAAAATTTATTAGGATGTTATTTATCTCTTTACTGAGTAATGCACAGTAAACTATCTCACTCCATTATATGTATGTGCCATAATTTAACAATTTTCCTGTTGATGGGAATTTGTTTCTCAAGTATGTTTCTTGTTGGGTGCTATGTAAAAAGGCATGGAGGAGGCCAATCTGACAGTCTGTCTACACAAGGGAGAAAGAGAACTGAAGTCCTCACCAACCCAAGGTGTTTTGCCCTTGGCTCAATCAGTCTGACAGTCTGTCTACACAAGGGAGAAAGAGAACTGAAGTCCTCACCAACCCAAGGTGTTTTGCCCCAGGGCAGAGGTCACACGTGGCTCAACCCTCCATCCTCTGCTCTGGCATCAATCATTCCTTGCATAACACTCCACTTATATGCTGGATTTGATCATTGATTGCAGTGGTCACACAGAACTCACAGAAATTCACCGTTATTGGGGATTACTAGGGAAATTAAATTAAAATTTAGGGATTGTAGTCTTTAGGATTGATTGCATTTCAAGGTCAAGAAATCCATAAGCCTCACAACTGGGCCAATAGGAAACATAAGAAAATTGAGATAAAAATAAAGTTGTCAATGAAGTTTTCCTACTTGGATCCACGGTTAGTGCTCATATAACTAGCAGTCAAGAGATCAAAAAATGTGTTGCATTTGGAAAATTGCTGTAGAAGACCTCTTTAGAGTATTGAAAAGCTACGGTGTACTTTGAAGATAAATGTGTGCTTTACCTGAACCGCATATGCATGTGAAAGTTGAGTAAGGAAAACCAAAGAAAAATTGATGTGTTTGAATTGTGGTGATGGAGAAAAACAATGAAAGTGCCATGGACTGCTAAAAGAAAAACAAAATTGTCTTGAAAGTACGCCCAGAGTGCTGCTTAGAGACAAGGATGTCAAGACATGGAGTTGTGTGCTTTGGACTAGTAGTCTCTAGAGATGGAATTCATGCTTCCTAAAGTTGAGGCACAGCAAAAGAGAAGGCCCTCAACTGGATGGATTGACAGAGTGACTGCAACGATGGACTCAAGCATAGGCTCAACAAAGGACCAAGCAGTGTTTTGTGGAATTGTGCATAGGATCTCAGTGGGTGGGAACTGATTGAATGGCACCTAGCAACATTAGGGAAATTAACAGGTAAACACAAGTCATAAACTACCAACAGTAAGAATGTAGTCATTGGTCCACAACAGCATCTTTTCCAACCAGTAGCCAAGTCTAGCCCTAGCCATAATTCCCCATCTAATATATTGTAAACCTGGAATCTGCCTCTGGCTGTAGTCTCATTTTGGAGGGAGTTCTCTACCATGCTAATGGACAGGATTAAAGTGGAATTAAGTCCTGACCTCAGTCAAGGGTATAAACAAAGTCACAGCCTACTGCCTTCTGGCTTGCATTGTTTTCTGTAAGAAATGTCATGCTTTTTTATGCCTTCTGTGGTTATAATCCCTTTTATAAGAATTAATACCAAACTAGTCCTGAGGAATGGGGGAATTGGTGATGCCCCAAATATTCCAACTCTTCTATGATGCTATTCGGCTCCATTTTTACCCCACTCTTCCCTTGAGTATATCCCCTCACATTTCTGAGCTCTGTGACATGCTGCAATGTCCCACGGAAACTCAAAGTTGGCGATAATGCTTCACATGGTGGTGGGTACTGTTCAGTCCAAAATACAAGGCCAGGCAAGGGTAAACCTGATGCTGGGTCACGAGTACACACTCCACTCCTAGCTCTGGCTGGTGATTAAATTCCACTCCTGCTTCTCAGAGGGCTCATTTTATGCACCATAGGATGGAATTGCAGTGAATTCTAGTCACAATTACTCACAGGTGAATCTTGTCAGTGTCTTCCACCACCATCTTACCAGACCCGCAGGAAATGTGGTTTGCTTACTTTTTAATGATGCTAGAATACAGTAGTCAATTCTCCACTTCTGCATTGTATCATATGTATATTTGACCTGGAGCCCCTGGCAGGATGTTTCCAGTAATTATTGACCTCATAATCAACCACACTGTTTCCCTAGCCATTCCAGAAGCAGCTTTTCTCCTCGTACCTGTAGCATATTGTTCTCTCTCAACCATTACAAGTAACAGTGACCAAGATAATCTTACTAAAGCCAGGTCTTGATCTCATCCTATTCCAAAATGGGACTATAGCCACAGACGTATGAAATCCAGAATTACAATATATCACATGAGGGCTAATGGTCATATTAACTGACTATAACTTACTTTCTTAAAGTATTTTCTCTGTCTCTAGTTTTAAGGAAGTTGTGCTCATGTGTTTTTTCCTGTTCCTGTGTTGGATTCATTGTACTACATATAATTTGTAGGTTGATACTTTACAGAAAGTTTGGAAAATTTTCACCTGTGACTTTTTAAACTATTTTTTTCTAATACCTTCTCCTCTTCAGGTATTCTAGTTAAGCATTTATAGAGTCTCGAGGAGCCCTGGTGGCATAATGGCTTATGAGTTGGGCTGCTAATCTCAAACTCATCAGCTTAAACCCACTTGCTCTTCCTCTGGAGGAGAATGAAGCTTCCTGCTCCTTTAAGGGTTCACAGTGTAGGGAGCCACCCAGGGGCAGATCTGCTCTGCCTTGTGTGTTTCTGTGAATCAGTCTGCTTGAGGCAATGAGTCTAGTTTTTTAAGAGGTCTCCTGAAGTTGCCTGACTGATGCTGTATTCATTTTCCCCCCTAGTCTTTTTTTTCTCTCTCTCATTTTAGATAGGTCATATTACTTTGCCTTCAAATTTATTAATATTTTCTGTAATGGCTAATATGACCTTAATTCCATCTAATTCCTGTATATCAGATATTTTCATATCTTCTGTGTCTTAATAATATATTCCTTTTTTATTCTCCTGAACATACTAAATCTAGTTTTCTAGCAACTTTAGTATTCTTGTCTGCAATTCTATCATCTGTTATTTAGTCAGTTTAGATTGAATAGTTTTTCTCCTCATGTTAAATTGTATTTTCCTGTTTATATTCCTTAGATATAGTGGTTGGGTGCTACATATGGATTTTAGCATTGTATATTCCTTTAAGTACTGTTAAATATTTTTGTTGTGGCATGCATTTAAATTACTTAGAAACAGTTTTATGTTGTCATATCTTGCCTTTAAACTTTGTAGGACTGTGGTAGATACTCGTTAAGGGTTTATTAAGCCTCTGGAGCTCTGGTTACATTGTGGGATATAAGTTGGGCTGCTAATGTAAAGATCAGCAGTTAATCCATATTGGTTCTTGTTTGAACTGCTAGCTAAGGTTAATGTGAAGTGAAAAATTTTGTAAATGGCTCTTTAATGTATGTGTTCTTCACTACCACTAAATGATGGGGTGGGATCATGCAAATAGAGTGTGAAACATTAATAGAAGGGATTGGTCAATTTTAGTTGCCACTTCCTTGAGTACAAAAATGAGCTATCTCAGAATTCTCAGAACAGAGAATTCCCAGAACCATGAAGACAGAAGAGCCACTAGTAGAGCACATTTGAAATCCCTACCTGAAATGGTGGATGTCATGCCACTGTGAGACCAGACAAAGAAACCGAGAAGCAGTATCTAAACTTTGAGGTTGTAGACTTCCTGGCCCTGAAGATCAGAGGCCAAAGGACTACTTGGCTCAGAGTCTGAGGACCAAAGAGAGACTCGGCTGCTGGATGAGGAGTTGCACTGCTGTAGTCAAAAGGATATATCCTTCATGTTTTCTGAACTTGCCTTATAGTAACCTGTTAAATTCCTTATAAACCCCACAGTTGTGAGTGTTGTTTAGTAATTCTGTCTGACCTTTGCAACCGATTGTCGAACCCAGCAGAAAAAAATAGTTTTGTGAGAAGGCCGGTTAGTATCAGAATAGGGTAAAAAGGATGGGAGGGGGAAGGGTGTCTGACTGTTGCGTTGTGGCAGTTGGCCTTTGTAGCTTCTGTGAAGTTAGAAGTGCCTTCTCACTTCTGTAGCCAGAAGTCAGAGACCTCTGTGCCTTTTTTGCAATGTATGGAAT